GTGAGCATCCTAAAATAATCCAGCTCAGGCCCCATGGCAGACCCATTAGAAAAGCAGAGGCAGAGTTCAAGTATTTCTAAATAATAATTCTCTCTTTGGTTTTTCCAGTGTCCATCTCCCTACACTATCTGGAAACCCCCATTCCTGTCATTCTTTCTCATCTCTTCTTTACCCTGATCAGCCTAACAATAAAAGCCAAGGGAGCAGACAAGGCATCACCCTTAGAAGCAGAGGAGGGCAGAAACTGTGCATGCTCATAAAAAATTTTGTTCATGTTCAAAGACTCATGTCTGCTTTTTCTCCCGTGATTAAACCTCCTACTTCTATGGGGTCCCTATATTACTCCTCCAAGCAGAACTTCTCGTCTCAGCTCCCAGTCTGCAAGCCTCGGTATTGAGGTCTTCTTTTACCCCACCCACAAACGTACCTTTCATAAACTGAACAATGTATCTGTGTCCCTGCTCCCTGTGAACAGACCATTCACCTCCTCCAGGGTCTAGAATCTCTGCCTTATCTGTGTTCTGCTGACTTGTCAGGACCTACTCCTGTTGATCACCCCAAACGTTCCTAATGCCATTTAACCCACTGCCAGGATCTTTCCCTGGTAGCTGATGCTGGGTCTTTTCCCAACTACCAGCCCTTCTCCCATGGGCCAAATGGGCTGTATCCCAAGTGCTCCTGGTCCCCCAACTCACTGAACTGCATGGATGGTTGTTCTCTAATGGAGGGAGAGAGAGAATATGGAGAGAATGGTGAGAACAGGGAACACAGACACGGTCTACCTTTGACTAGTTATGGGGTACATAGTCAAGAGCTTTTGCAATAGAACAATGATAACATACCCCGAGCAGTCACGGAATTAATCATCCTTTGTATTCTCCTCAGTCATAGAGAGAACTTCAAAGCCGATACTAGACTGTCTTTTGAATCTCGTTAACTACCAGAGCAGTTTTACTCCATTATGAAGTTCTACTTATTGTAAAGTGATACTGAACTTCATTCGGACAAGAAATGACATTTTAATCTCATTCAGAGTTTGTAGGTATTAAACATTCTCCTGGGTTGACGAGAACCCTCTTGGTTTCAAAGAAATAAATTCTTCATGCTCAGCCAGTTTCTGAGGTATGAATAATAGTACCCAGTCCCACACATACCTGAATGCCGTCAAGAGGCTGAACGTCTTTATTATTTACCCATACTGGTGTAAAACTCAGAATCAGACAGTAAAAAGAAGCTGGCTAGACTCCTAGATTCCCTCAGCGTGTGGTCCCATATGTCTTCTTTTTTTTTTTTTTTTTAATTTTTTTATTGTACTTTAGATGAAGGTTTACAGAACAAATAGTTTTTCATTAAACAGTACACATATTGTTTTATGACATTGGTTAACAATCCCACGATGTGTCAACCCTCTTCCTTCTCAACTTGAGGAACTTTTTTTTGGTGAAAATATACATAGTCAAAGTTACACCATTTTGAAAGTTTCTGCATGTACAATTCAGTGACATGGATTACATTCTTCCAGTCGTGCTGCTATTCTCACTATCCTTTTCCAAATTATTCCATCGCCATTATCTTCAACTCACTGTCCCTTAGGCTTCCCATCAAACCTTTTGAGTTGCTGTTGTCAATTTGATCTCACATAGATAATTCTTTTATTTTTTTGTACCTTAGATGAAGGTTTGCAGAACAAATAGTTTCTCATTAAACAGTTAGTACACATATTGCCCTATGACAATGGTTAACAATCCCATGACATGTCAACACTGTCCCTTCTCACCCTTGGGCTCCCTATCACCAGCTTTCCTGTCCCCTCCTGCCTTCTAGTCCTTGTCCCTGGACTGCTGTGCCTCATT